CTCCGAGTGTATTTCTGCCATGAAAAACAGCTTTTCATAAAAATATAATCGCCGTTCGGAGTTCGCGTAATAATGTAGGTTCCTACCCACAAATCGGAGGAGAAGCTCGGCCAAAGACTAACATATAAGTAAGCACCAATCTCCTATTATTATTCTTATTATTCTTGTTTGGCTCTGTAACCGCCTAAGCGATTTCGGACGAGTTCAACAAGGCACGCCAGTCGTTTCTCTTCTGGACTTATAAGGCCCAATCAGTTCATAGACATTGAAAGGACTATTTATTACGCTTACAAATGCGATTCCCGCATTTAGGAATACCAAGGTATGGATATTTATTTTTAGAGACCCTTGAAGGGCAAAACTCTTCAGTACGAACAACTTTTAAGTTAAACAGATCTACATAAATGAGTGTGAATTTAAGCAAAGAAAAATCGCCGACACCGAAATTCTTTATAAAAAAAAAACAGTGTGAAAGTGTAAGAAAATAAAATTTTTTCAAATGCAAATGTTTTAATTTTTTTAAGGATTCATCCTTAACTTATTTCCCAACTTTCCGCAGCTAAAAATATGTTTGTACTTAGCACTAATCAAGATCTTCAAAATTTCCAAATAAAAGAATCCTGGTAATACAGTCTGCTTATTTATTTCTCAACACAAGAGCATTTTTTCTAGTTTAGTGATTATACGAAAAGTCACAGTTTGCAAATTAATGGCCACAAAGTTGGTTTGTGAAATATTTCCTTTTGCCACATCCTGGCTACTTTCAACAGTCATTAAGACTAATTGGCAAATGAAACCGCAGTCAGAGCGTTAATGCGGAAGGCAATTCATACGGTTTCTTTGCTGATATGGCGGCACGGATGCCCTTGACTAAGCACTTGCAAAATGTTTGCCATAAATTGTTTTGCCAACTGCCGCCATGTGAGAAGGTTCCAGCGCTCAGGAATAAGTGGTAAAAAAATTAAATTATATTAATAAATACTTACTCCATTTGACATCGAATTAAGATTTGACTGAGATTACAGTAATCCAGAATGTTTGGCCGAGATATACTCGAAGTGTCTTCAGACATTAAACGTAGAAATGATTTGTAACCTAGTTTTAAACTTTCACCAAATGCCACGTCACGAAAAATCTTCCCGAAAAATTTCCTATTTCTAGATGTAAAAATACACGCTCAACCCTGTGCAACTGACGTTCAGTCTATTAGACACCTATTTTTCGGCAAAGGTGACCGTTATAAACATCTTTCATGCAGCAGTACGTATAAATATTTGATAAGCATTTTATCAAAAAAAAAAAACAATTAAGATGTTTTATTTATTGCATGTTGAAAGCTGCAGCTGCGTGCAATTTATTTTTAGTTGCATTTATTTCTTACAGCCAAGGCGGTTAATTACTCTACAACATTGTACACTTCATAGTAGCCACATTCGTTCTAAGAAAATTCAAATACTCACAAATTTTTCATTTTACTATAGCACTTAGCGAAAATAGCAGCGCTGCACAGATCACCTTTTCTTGATTGCTAAGTTTCTCACGCGATTTTGCAATTTGCACGACTATTTTACAAAAAGGCTACTCCCATAGAGGGATGATGCCACTAAGCACATGCTGATCTACTTACAAGAATAATAAATTTAACTTTTTTAATAGACTTACCTATTAACTCTTGACCGCTTTTTAAGCTGCATCTCGATGTCCTTTCGCAAATCTTTTGATTTCTAAGCGTAGAGCTAAGCACGACACATATTAAACTAGTATTTGTGAGAAAAATTTAAAGTTCCTTACCGCGAGTCCCATGAAACAGCGACTAGATGCACAGAAACTGCTGGCAGCTGTTTGAAAATATTTTGTAAAATGACACTCCACCCAACGAGACTATCACATGAAAGCGCTTAGCAAAACTGTTAAAGTTTAATCAGAACCAATCGCTGCGCGAATTTCGGCGGACGGAGCGATGCCGTTGGGTGATATTCGCCGCAACATTTCGCCCAGTAAAACAAAATCGAAACGAAATTCAAATTAGCTGAATGAAAAACAAAAAATATAAAAATACAGAATCGAAAAGATGAATCCCCAAATTTTGCTCTTCATCTCCTTTCTGCCAATCCTGCTAGAAATGTGAAGAAATAAAGCTATTTGTTGACTGACAGCTGATTTTGTGACCTGCGCACAGTGGGTCAAAACTGGAATTTATGGTTTATAATTCACTGGGCCTTCATTTTTCAATCAATTTAATTAATTTTTTTCTACGTGAAAGCATATAAAATTAGCAAGCAACTGGCCCTCGATTTTTGAATTTTTATATGTTTATATTAAATTTTTTGGTGCAAAGAGCAGAAAAAGTTGCAGTTAATAAATGTTACATAATAAAAACTAAAAACAATTGTAGAGTTCCGCCAAAACGAAAAAAGATACACGAAAAATTGCGAATGCCTTAAAAAGAATCTGCAAGTGGCTAAGGGTTCGCGTTGATTTTTAATAATTTGTTCGCTAACTTTTCTTCCACATCTGCACGCTAAATATTTATATTGTTATTATATAAATAAATTAAAATCAACCCCAACTCTTACCTATTGGAAACTTGCACTTTATTTTACTTAAATTTCATCATCTATAAAATGCATTCCCAAGATTTGTCAAAGAACTAAAAAAAATCAAATTTTAAAGTTGGAAATTTTTTTTTTAGCATTTCAAATTTTTTCAAGATTTCTTTTTTCTTTTCATTAAAAAACAAAAAATAATCAAACTGAATAAAAAGTGAAAGCTCCAGTGAATTTTCAACTGGAAATTCCAGTTTTGAACCACTGTGTGGTGGCAGCGGTAAAATTAAAAATAAATCTATTCTCACTGAATTTCGTCAGGCGAACTTCATCATCGCTTGGGTTATGTTGAAATTTTTTTACCTGAAATTTAAAAAGCCGTAAATAATAAAAAATCCAAATTTCACTTTTTGATTGATATGATGGATTTCATCCAATTACAACTTTCCACATCATTTTATACAAAAAAAATATTAGTCACGACTTTTTCCATTTCAGTGACAATATTTATTAAAAAAAAATATACATATACAATTTTTTTAAAACATGCCAAATTTTTCTCGTGATTTATCTTCGATTTGAGGGAGCCCTACAATTGTTTCGAACTATTTTGTATTATGTAACGTTTATTAGCGGGAAAAGATAATCGATTTTCCTCAAAGTTGCTCCTTTCTATGCACTTTGCAGAAGTTGGGAAGTATAAAGTAATTTTGAGGATGGAGTTCTTTGGTATATATACTTTTAAAGATGGGGTATTTTCCTGAGTACTGAGTACATTCTTTAAATACACACATGTCGGTAACATTTCAATACTTAGTGTAGAAATCTCACAAGCTGGCAGTATTTTATTTAAATTAATATATGAATCCCAAATTCAAGTATTGCGCTTGAAAATTATTGAAACTGCAAATTGAATAAAATAATTTCTGAATACCGTTAACGATAAATAAAACTCAGTACTTTTTTGATCTAATCGACACTTAATACTAAGTGCTTTGAATCGATCAACAGAGTATTTTTCAATAGTGAGTACTTTGGAGTTCTTTTGTGAGTACTGAGTTCTTTGGAGTACTCAGTATCGATACTTTTAAAAATCCGTCGCTGTCGATCCTTTTGAGAATCGAGTTCTGAGTACTTTTGGTATCGATAATGCCCAATACTAGTGTTAATTGAAAATATTTTCATTACATATATTTTATAAAGACGTATTTTGTATACATAAGTAGTTAATTTCCCAGCAGGGCTCTTCTCGCACTTAGATATGTACATTACGTTTGTGCAAGAAAATAGATTCATATGTGGATACATGCTAGTATAACCAAATATTTATAAATACATATATACAAAGCTATGAATATTTCTACACTGTCAAGTCATCTGCTAAATTAGAAAGCAGATTTTCCGATAGAACACGTTTTAATTTGCTGGCACACTGGTAGACACACCTCCCATAGCATTTCTAAAGATGTCCATGTGATGGAGGACATACATACACACACATGCCGTAAAAGCTGTTCGCAAGTAAGCAGACTCACAAGCACATACATAGGTACATACTTGTACGTATGTTATGCTTACGTTATGGTATTAATATTGAGAGAATATGTTGATTTTAATAAATTTTAACAAAAAA